ATATATATAAAGGCATTTTTAAACCATTCCCACACTCTTGCAATATTCTAAACAATGTTTCTTAACTCCAATCGCTCTAAAAGAGCACAGATTGTCATGATTTCACTTCCTGCCTCCTCTGCTCTTTGCCACCTGCAAGCGCTCTTGGCCACGCCCACTTCTCCACTCTATGTGCTGAACAACTGATCAGCTGTTCAGCTGCAGCAGGAAGTTTATCCTGCAGTAGTATGGACTGCACAAATGTGCAGCAGGTGCTAAATAATTTAAAATAGTTTATTTTAAATAAAAATTCAATGCCGATCGTGCGGCTCATCCATCAATCAGCCAGTTGTGTGTCATGTCCAGTCTTACTTTGAAAACCCGCGATAGAGCAAGTCCGAGATAAACGAACCGCAAAGTAGCTCAGGACTGCGCGTTCAAAGTTTTCGTTCTTTTTCTCGTCACGCCGCTTCGGAATAAAACAGGCAAACTAAACACCAGACTCTGTCAGGAGTAACGATGTTTTGGTAATCTGTGTGCTGCACAAACGGAACAGAATTTAAAAAGAAGTAGTGAAGATTAACAGGATTTTTGGTGAAATACAAACGGAAAAACCAGCCGTGGTTGGAGCTTTGCAGCTCAACAGAAACATCGTTCAAAGTTTCAACAGACTGCAGAGAGTTGGTCTTCACGTCTTACAGTTTTTACACAGTCACAGTTAAAGTTTGATGATCTTTACTCAAAATGTTCAACTACAGTCGATGATGTCACACTTTAACTTTAGTGCTGTCAACCTTTTGTTTCTTCCACAACTCTTATCACTACAGATACACAATATAATTATCTCTCCTTGCTCTAAGACAAAGTTTTCTCCTAAATCTCAGAGTGCAGAGAGCGCACAATCAACACTTACATTTTATTTTAGCACAAAGTATTTTCTTCAAAACAGGAAGTGAAGGCTCTTTTTAACTCTTTTTAACTCGTCACATCTACTGATTTCCTTAATTTTGGGAAATAAGCCGATACTTGCATGAAAAACTGATTTTACCGATTTTTCTTTAGTTTTAACAACAATTGTCTAAACTTCATTTATATTTCAGAGCACTACCTCATGGCCAGTTAAAACAAGTTTCTATTGTTTCTAGGATATTGTTCAAACATATGTTTTTCAATAAAATAATATTGGAAAATTGAAAGTACATTGTGACCTTATAACACCTGATAGTGTCGCTTATACAGCAAAATCGGTATCGGACAAAATCGGAATCAGCAGCTCAGACTTTTTAGAAATCGGCCAGAAAACTGCAATCGGTGCACCCCTAATGAAAACCCACGTGGAAACGGAGAACACCTCACAAACGATTGAAGACATTTTGGACACTCTGCAGCGAACCCGTTCACCATCCAGTCTCCAACAGTCGCAGCTCAGTGAGACGATATAAAAAAAAAGTGCCAAATGTGTCTTCCTGGTGCATCGACGGCTCGGTATGCCATACAGGAAACAATAGACAGTCTCCACTGAGTTCTGCAGAAGAATAACTCCCTCAGCCTGTTGTTGTTTTTTTTTAGTTTTGAGGTTGAAGTGTAAATATAAACGTGTCAGTTCAGTCGACAGAAAAAAAACCCAGCAATATGTCTGTAATATTTATACTTTAATCCCCAAACTTAAAGAAATAGACTAAACCTGCGCTTCTTATTTGTGTTTTTTTTTTGTTCTTGTTCTTGCGTTCTTTTCTGACTTCTCCCTCACCAAACGTCACCGGAACGACGAGTCAGTTAAACATCGACTAAAAGACGTTTTTGTTTTGATTCCGATGCGGGCGAGTCGTGGGAATCGGCATTTTGTTGCTTTTGTTGTGTCAGCTTTAGTTTAGAGGCGCCGTCACCGATTCCAGCTGCTTCTCTCTTTTTGTTTTCGTTTTGTTTTTATGAGCCTGTCATCACATCTACTGTGTATCGCATCTCTGTGTTGCTTCTCGGTCGTCATCGTGCTCCTGTTCCTCTTCACTTTACGCTTCCACCACACATGTGAGAGTGTTTACATGTGAAGCATTGTTCTGTGTTTGCTCAGTTATGGTGCCTCTAATGAATTTAGCCGCATCACAGTCGTTGCATAAATGCATAAGCAATTCAGTCGACCTTCATCGCTGCGCACGCTGCGTGTGTTGATGTGTCTTATTTTTGCCACTCTAGGAGAGGGAGAGGAGGAGGCAACACGTAATGCTGATGAAGGCTGTCGAGGCTCGCAAGAAAGCAGAGGTAGACCACAAAGGCTTTTGATGAGTCAATGGAATTTGGCTTGTTAGCAAAATATTTCACGAACCACTGGGTGGATTTGAATGAAACTCTTAGGAAACAATCGTTGGATGTTTATCTACAGCTCATTAACATTTGGAGTCAGCCCAGTTAAAGATGGCTGCCACAGCCAACTGACCTTCCAAAACACAAAAGTGGCTTTAACTCGGTTAGTTTTACAGATACTGAGCTAAGATTAGGTGTGGTAGTAACCGAGACTCTTTTAAGATACATATATCAAGGGCTCCTCACTGCGTCAGATATTTGATTAAAAGATTGGCAATAGATGTTGGAGTTGACCCTGTTTGTCTGTTAGCAAAATATCTAATGAACCAGCCTAATTCAAGACGGCCATGACAGTTAATAAATATTTTCCAACACAGTTGCGACTTTAATTCAGTGAGTTTTACAAACACGAAGCCAAAACTTTGTGGTAGTAGTCGATTCATCCCATGTCACGTGATTTTAGTCTAAATCTCGGCGGGTGATATGCATTTCTTCATGCAATACTACATCTCTTATTTATTCCCACTTTCTCCCCTCTTCTTGCACACGCGCGTCCCCTGAATGCATTCTTTCGTTTAAACATTCGGGCCCTCCAGCACTTTTCCTCTGATCGCAGCTGAATTCTAGCACTCGGCAGAGTCGAGGAAAGTCTTTTTCTTGTTTTTTTTTTGTTGTTGTTGTTTTGTTTTTTTTGGCACACGTTTGACGCTGCCGTGCGTTCTGGACTCTCCAGGAGCGCGAACGCCTGCGGCAGGAGAAGAGGGACGAGAAGCGCCTGAACAAGGAGCGTAAACTGGAGCAGCGGAGGCTGGAGCTGGAGATAGCCCGGGAGCTGAAGAAGCCAAATGAAGACATGTGTCTGTCGGACCATAAGGTGGGAGATTTATTTGATCACTTCCTTGAATGAGCACTTTTCTTCACAATCATCACCGAAGTGTAAATGTTTAGAAATGTGCGCCCCCTGGTGGGTAAAGTAAAACATCACAACAAGAAAATAATATAAACTAGAAACATCTTGATAAGAACATGCTGAATCTGATCAAACTGTTCCTGGTTTTCTCTCTGCAGTCCCTCCCAGAGTTCTCCCGGATCCCCGGACTCATCCTGCCGGGCCGGGCCGTGTCCGACTGCCTGATGCTGATGCAGTTCCTGCGAGGCTTCGGGAAGGTTTTGGGACTTGATCTGAGCGCGGACATCCCCACGCTGGGGATGCTCCAGGAGGGTTTGCTCAACGTGGGGGACAGCATGGGCCAAGTCCAGGACCTTCTGGTTAAACTGCTCTCTCTAGCTGTCTGTGATCCGGGTCTGCCACCTGGACAAAAGGTGATTCAAACGATTCATCATATTATTAAACTCATCAACGTTAGATGGATTTAGGACTCTGATAACCTTGAATTGAACAGTTAAAGTGAAATTAAACATTTCGTTCCTGTTTTATTTAGACCAAAACTATGCTGGGAGACCATTTGACCAATGTGGGCATCAACAGAGACAACGTCTCCGAGGTGCTGCAGATGTACATGAGCGCTCATTGTGCCAACACAGAGCTGGCACCGTTAGCCCTGAGCCTGAAGACCAAAGCCTTCCAGGCTCACACACCCGCTCAGAAGGCCTCCATCCTGGGCTTCCTGGCCAACGAGCTGGCCTGCAGCAAAGCTGTGATCAGGTGAGACACAGAACAAAGTCAGCCGGGTTGTTTTGTAATTGTCCTCTGATTCAAGTCCCAAATGAGCAAGTATTCCCCAGTAAAGTCATTCCCAATACAAACTTGACATATTGTGGGAGATTTAGCTGATTTTGTTTCTGCTTGCAGTGAGATCGACAAGAACCTGGACCAAATGGCCAACATGAGGAAGGACAAGATCATCATGGAGGGAAAACTAAAGAAGTGAGTCTCATTTCTTCTCAGAAACATCATTTTTTTAAGTCCACGGTCAAATAAACCGGTTGATTTCTGCAGACTGAGAACTATTCACGCCAAGCGGACAGGGAAGAGGGAGGCCAGCTTGGGTGGGGAGGAGAACCAGTCTGTCGGAACGCCATCCTCCGCCTCCAAACGCAAGAGGAAACTGGTCGCGGACAGCGAAGACGAGGACGACGACGACGAGGACAGTGATGACCCAGCGGAAGATGATGATGAGGAGGAGGAGGAGGAGATCAAAAAGGTTAAAAAGGTGGAAACGTTTGACGAGGTAAACATAAAATAATCACCCGTAAAGACGCATTAGGGGAACTGCACGGCGTCTGTTTACACGTGGTTCTGTTTGTTTTGCCCCGACAGGATGAAGTGGATCAGGCCACCAGCATCGAGGAGCTGGAGAAGCAGATAGAAAAACTAGCCAAGGTGTGCACCTCTTTAGGCTGCGGGTGGGACACAGCTAACCACCATTAGCTTGTAGCTGCTAATGTGTGATTCAATGATTAACAGGAAGTCTCTGGAAACACTAAAGGGTGAAAAACTGAGGGGGAATCTTTTATAAACAGAGTTAAATAATCAGAAAATTATTAGTTACAAAAACAAATTTCAAAGCCGCCTTCTCCAGAATCAGCTGAAGTTTTTGATATATAACCATGAAAACAGCCCAAAGATAGTTAAAAATATAAAACCATAAAAACACACCGAGATAAATATTCTCTTTAATATTTTCTCTTTCTTCCTGTTATACTACTTTTAACCTTTTAGCTTACATTTTGCTCCTTTTACCCTTTGGCCAACGTTCAGCCACTTTTAGGTTTTACCTACAGTTCTGCTCATTTTTAGCTAATATTTAGGTATTTGTACGTTTTGGCTTCTATTCTGCTCATTTTTGCTACCACTCCAATCCTTTAACATTTTTAGCTGTTCTTTTGCTCATTTTAGCTTTAACTATTCCTCTCATTTTATTTTTTAGCTACTGTTTGCTCCTTTTAAAGTTCTTTGAGCTAACGTTTAGCTATTTTTAGTATTTGACTTCTATTTTGCTCTTTTCAGCTGATATTTACTGTTCTTCTCTTTTAGAGCTTTTAGCTTTTGCTTTGCTCCTTTTAGTTTTAGCTAACGTTTTGCTACTTTTTGAGTTTACGTCCTACTCCTTGTAGCTTTCGGCTAGCATTCTGCTTTACTTAACTAACATGGTTAACATAGTTAACTAACTATGTTTAGCTGCTGGCTTTCATTTAGCTCCTTTAAGTTTTTGGCTACTGGCTGCTTTTAGCTTCAGCTTCCATTTTGTTCCTTTTTGCTTTTTCTTATAGTTCTGCTCCTTTAAGCTTTGGGCTTTTGTTCAGCTACTTTTAGTTTTTTGGGTACCATTCTGCTAATTTTTGCTACCAGTCTACTCCTTTTAAGCTTCTAGCTTTTCTTTTGCTCTTTTAATTCATCGTTTTACTTCTTTTAGCTTTTGACAACCATGTAGTTTCTTTCAGCTACTGTTTGCTACTTGTAGCTTTTAACCCTGGTTTAGCTTTTTATTTGTTTTAGCTGTACCGGCTCAGCTTCAACTTCTTTAGCTGTGTATTCTGTTTAAAACTGGAAGTTTACAATCAACACAACGTAGTTTTCACTCAGCGACTCTTTGTTTGAGGCTTACTTCTCAGACTGTGTTTCTGTCTTGCTCGCTTTAACAGGGAGTGACAGACACAGGTGCGTGGTTTCCATGGTGACCACAATGGGCAGCAGCTTAGCCCGTTCTTCTGTTCTTGGTTCTTGTTACTCGTTTTATTCTGTAAAAAAAAAAAAAACATCAAAATTTAGGATTAATTTTTTTAGTCTAGATTATTTTTTTGCATCCTTCAACATTTCTGCAGAAATCTTCTTTTTTAAACATCTTTGCGTTTTGTTCATTATACAAACAAAAGAGTGCTGAAATGGAGCTTTTTACTAATGGAGGCATTAATTACCTTAATGAATTAGCTCGTTAGCCGAGCGCAGTCGTTAATAAAGCACGGGGATGAAAGAAGGACATTAAGGAGCATCTTTTGTTTTGAGGATCAGGTTTGTTTTGTCTCTGCAGCAACATCATCAGACCAGAAAGAAGCTCTTTGAGATATCTCATTCTTTACGCTCCATGATGTACGGACAGGACCGGTACCGCCGCCGGTACTGGGTCCTGCCGCACTGCGGCGGGGTCTTCATCGAAGCTATGGAGAGTGGAGAAGGTAGAGCGCCGTGTTATCATTTATTTTATTATTATTGCTGTGACTTTTAAAGGATTATGTCACGACTGTCGATTTGTTTTCCTGCAGCTCCGGAGGAACTGGAGGAGGAGCGACAGAGGAGGAGACGAGCTGCAGAGGAGGTGAAGGTGAAGGAGGAGCCCCAGGAGATCGAGCTGCACAAGGAGAAAATATCAGGCCTAGAGCAACAGAAGGAGGAGGAAAGGGAGCCGAATGGGAGGAAGAACTCCTTGTCGTCGTTCTACCCGAAGTCCGGCTGCGTGTCCAAACAGTGCACGCGCCGAGACGTCCTCAAAGACTCTGCTGTGAAGACCGAGGACAAGGACAGTCCACACGGGAGGAAGAACAGGAGTCACGTGGTGTCTAACACTGGAACGTCCTCCTCCCCTCATCACGGTAATCCTGAGCCGCCGGCGGCAGCGATCCCCTCCATGGTGACCTCTAACGACACCACCAACATCCCACTTCCTGCCACAACCTCCTTGTCCTTTCCCGGCCTGCTGGCTCCACGTGAAAGTTCCGGGAACACTCCCACCTCCTCCCCGTCCCTGCTCCTCTCCTTCCAGGCCAACGACCAGCTACTCCGAGTCCTGACCGAGAGGAGCGGGCACTGGTTCAGTTTGCTCCCTCGTAACCCCTGCGACCTCTCCTCCCTCACCGTCAGCCCCCCAGGAGTGCCTCGCGGCTCCCCTCAGGCATCCTCCACCCCGGGCAGACCCAGGTCTCCGCCTCCGTCCCCAGCGCTTCCTCTCACACCGTCCGCTGCCTCAGCCTCCACCAGCCCGCACCACCCGGCCGGCCTCCTCAACTACCCACTGTCCACCCTGCAGGTGAGACTGGCAGCACACGAAGACGTCTTTTGAGCCTTTTGATGGCTTCAGAAGCTCAGTGCTCTATTCTGCAGCCTTCCCGAGGCTGCGGGTTCAAGCTCAGGTTGCGTCAGGAAGAGAACTTGACTAAAAACCGTCATCAATTTTTTACTGTGATGACCCCCTTGCTGAAGGCAGCAGCCAAAGGAAAAGCAGCAGCAACAGCTTCTAGCTAGCCTTTTAATATATTAGGCTAGCCTTTTGATACTCCTAGTTTTATGGCAGCATTTAGTCAAGTCAACTTTATTTATAGAGCACATTTAAAACATAAACTGTTATCAAAGTGCTTAACAACATCAGTGAGAGTAAAATTAATAAAAAAAATACACACCAATGATAATACTGAAAAATTAATTAAAAAGCATTAAAAATATATGAACACAGAACAAAAACACTAAATCAACTCACACTTTGTGAAATGCCAGAGAAAACAGACGTGTTTTTTTTTTTTTTAACCTTTATTTATACTGGTTAGTTCCCATTGAGCCTCGAGGACTCATTTACAAGAGAGACCTGTTTTAGCAGAGGTTTGAACACAGGACGGGAGGTGGCCTAATGTCGGCGGGGGGGCAGGTTGTTCCAGAGTTTGGGGGCCACGACTGAAAAAGCCCGATCACCTCTGAGTTTCAGTCTTGTTTTTGGAACAGCCAAAAACCGCTGATCGGATGATCTCAGGGCCCGAGAGGGAACATATGGTTCCAGTAGCTCAGAGAGTTAAAGGGGTGCGAGGCCATTTAGACTCTTATAGGTCAACAACAGAATTTTAAAATTCTATTCTAGTACGCACATTTAGCTACATTTATTTAGTTTTTTGCTACATTTAGCTAGGCTTTTGATACTTTTAGTTTTTAGCTGGCATTCAGCTATTTTTAGCTTTTATTAGCATTTTGCTCATTCCAACTTATAGCTAATATTTTTCTACATTTAGCTATTAGTTAGCTTTTTGGTACTTTTAGGTTTTAGCTAGCCTTTCGCTACTATTAGTTTTAACTGGTGTTTTACTACGTTTAGATTTTGTTAGCATAACGTTGATTTTAACATCTAAATAGTTTTTTGCTACGTTTAGTTTTTAGCTAACCTTTGCTACTTTTTATTATCAGTCAGTGCTCTGTAATTTTTAGCTTTCCTTAGCATTTTTTCTCTTTTTAACTTTTGGCTAGCCTTTTGCTGCTTTTAGTTTTTAGCTAATGTTTTGCTACGTTCAGCTTTTAGCTACTCTTTTGATATTTTTAGCTAGCTTTTTGTAACTTTTGGGTTTTAGCTAGCATTTGACTACAAACCAGATTCCAAAAAAGTTGGGACACTAAACAAATTGTGAATAAAAACTGAATGCAATGATGTGGAGGTGCCAACATCTAATATTTTATTCAGAATAGAACACAAATCACAGATAAAAAGTTTAAACTGAGAGAATGTATCATTTTAAGGGAAAAATCTGTTGTTTCCAAATTTTATGGCGTCAACAAATCCCAAAAAAGTTGGGACAAGTCCATTTTTACCACTGTGTGGCATCCCCCCTTCTTCTTACAACACTCAACAGACGTCTGGGGACAGAGGAGACCAGTTTCTCAAGTTTGGAAATAGGAATGCTCTCCCATTCATGTCTAATACAGGCCTCTAACTGTTCAATCGTCTTGGGCCTTCTTTGTCGCACCTTCCTCTTTATGATGCGCCAAATGTTCTCTATAGGTGAAAGATCTGGACTGCAGGCTGGCCATTTCAGTACCCGGATCCTTCTCCTACGTAGCCATGATGTTGTGATTGCTGCAGAATGTGGTCTGGCATTATCGTGTTGAAAAATGCAGGGTCTTCCCTGAAAGAGATGACGTCTAGATGGGAGCATATGTTGTTCTAAAACCTGAACATAGTTCTCTGCATTAATGGTGCCTTTCCAGACATGCAAGCTGCCCATGCCACAAGCGCTCAAGCAACCCCATACCATCAGTGATGCAGGTTTCTGAACGGGGCGTTGATAACAACTTGGGCTATCCTTGTCCTCTCTGGTCCGGATGACATGGCGTCCCAGTGTTCCATAAAGAACTTCAAATCGTGACTCATCTGACCACAGAACAGTCTTCCATTTTGCCACACTCCATTTTAAATGACCCCTGGCCCAGTGCAAACGTCTGAGCTTGTGGAGCTTGCTTAGAAATGGCTTCCTCTTTGCACTGTAGAGTTTCAGCTGGCAACGGCGGATGGCATGGTGGATTGTGTTCACTGACGATGCTTTCTGGAAGTATTCCTGAGCCCAATCTGTTATTTCCTTGACAGTGGCATTCCTGTTTGAGGTGCAGTGACGTTTAAGGGCCCGGAGATCACAAGCATCCAGTCGAGTTTTACGGCCTTGACCCTTACGCACAGCGATTGTTCCAGATTCTCTGAATCTTTTGATGATGTTATGCACGGTTGATGATGATAACTTAAAAGTCTTTGCTATTTTATGCTGGGTAACACCATTCTGGTATTGCTGCACTATCTTTCTGCACAACAATGGTGGAATTGGTGATCCTCTTACCATCTTGGCTTCTGAGAGACACTGACACTCTTAGAAGCTCTTTTTATACCCAATCATGTTGTCAATTGACCTAATTAGTGTTAATTGGTCTTCCAGCTGTTCGTTATATGCGCAATTTCCTTTTTCCAGCCACTTATTGCTACTTGTCTCAACTTTTTTGGGATTTGTTGACACTGTGAAATTTTGAATCAACATATTTTTCCTTTAAAATGTTACATTGACTCAGATTAAACTTTTGATCTGTCATCTATGTTATATTACGAATAAAATATTGACATTTGCCATCTCCACATCATTGCATTCAGTTTTTATTCACAATTTGTTTAGTGTCCCAACTTTTTTGGAGTCCGGTTTGTACTTTTAGCATGATGTTTTTCTACCTTTAGCTTTTAACTAGTGTTCAACTTCTGCCCAACAGTTCATTTTCAGCTTCTTCAGCCTCTTCAACTGTCATTCAGCGTTCAGATGGTATTTGAGCAGTAAATGTAGTTTCTTCAACTCTTAATCAGTTTGTCTTCTCTTCCCTGCAGCTGAAGTCCGGGGGCTCGTTGTTGGGGGTTTCATTTGGAGGGTGGCCCAGCGGGGTGATAAGTCCCAGCTTGCCCCTCTGCAGCAGTCCCAGCCCCCTGCCGGGTCACTCTCTGGAGGGCAACACAGCTGCGAGCGTCTCCAGTAAGAGCGAATCACCTTTACCTCGCATCGAGAAGAGCTCCTCCATGCCTTCGCCTGCCTTGGAGATGCCAAAGTCGCTCGACCACTCTTTGCCTCGGCCCATTCCAGAGGGTGGGTGCCGACAAACGAAACAAATTTATTTATTTATTTATTAATGCCTGCTGTTTTAGTCTCCTTAGGTTGCTTTTAATTTACAGCAACCATTTTGCTACTTTCAGTTTCAGTTACGTTTTTGCACCCGTTAGCTTTAAGTTACCATTTTGCTCTTATTAGCTATCATTTTTGTAGTTTTACCATACCAGTACTGTTTTGTTCTTTTTAGCATTTAGCTCAGTTTTGCCCAGTTTAGCCTTTAGCTTTGATTTTGCTCTGTTTAGCAACCATTTGACTACTTTTATTGTGTAGCTAACAGTTTGATGATTTTATCTTTTTAGCTATCACTCTGCTTCTTTTAGCTTCCATTTATCTTCTATTAGCTACCATTTGCTAGTTTTATCATATAGCTACCAATTAGCTCCTTTTAGCTTTTAGCCCAGTTCTGTTTCTTCTAGTTTTAGCTTCCATTTAGCTCCTTTTACCTTAACCAACTCAACAGTTCCAACTTATTTTTCATCGTCATTCTCAGCATTCACACTAGATTTGAGCAGAAAATGCTTTTTCTTGAGTTTAAGTTGTTTCTGCCTTTCCAAAAGAACCGTGGATTCGGCATCTCTGCCTGTTTTAGCTGATGTTGACGTGTGCTGCCTGTTTCAGAGCTGCTTACGGGTTGGTGGCGAGTGTCCCACGTGGAGCAGCTGAGGGCTCTGGTCAACGCGCTTCACAGTCGAGGAATCCGAGAAAAAGGTCTCCACAGACAGATGCAGAAATATCTGGAGATCATCCCTCAGGTCTGCACCAAACACAGAGACGGTAGGTTCCTGCAGCTGCTCTTCTCAGCGTGTTTCATCTCTGAGGTTCTGGTTCGGTTCTATTAAGCTACAGAATCATATTCGTGGTCATCACTTAATGATCTGCAGGAACTTTGACGTGTGAAGCGCTCAGAAAATTGTTTCTTTTGTTTTTCTACCTGCTGCTAAATACTTTAAGCTAATTTGGCCAGTTATACATCAATATTTGGCTTATTTAGGAAACAGGTGTTAATACCATTTGCTTTTGGAACTTTTAAAATTTTCAATATATTTAATTTACCAATATTTTCTTTGAAACAAAAAAAACAGCTCTCTTCAGTTCCTTCAAAGACATTGTTAGTCTTTGGCTCTTGGCTCTGTGTTTTGTTTTCTTTAGCTACTTTGAGCTAATCTTTTAGTGTTTTAAGCTAACTTTTAGGTGCTATTTTAGCTTTGAGCTAATTGTTTTAGTTTTTAGCTAGCTTTTAGCTACATTTAGGTTTTAGCTAGCTTTTTGTTCTTCTTGCGTTTATCTATTGATGTAATACTTTGAGATAATGTTTTGCTACATTTAGATTTTAGCTGGGGTTCAGCTTCTTTTAGTTTTTAGCTAGTGGTTACCTTCTTTAACTTTTACCTTACATTTGGACTTTTTTAGCTTTTAGTGTTCTGCTGCTGTTCATCTTTTAGCATTTTGTTGTTATTTTTATGGCTTTTCGCCATTTTTTTGGATACTTTTGCGTTTTAGCCATTGTTTTATTTCAGCTGAAATATCTCAGTTTCAGCTTATCAAGTAGATTTCAGCTGTCTTTCAGCTCATGCATGTTTCTTTAGTCAATCCTTCCATCGGCTGATGTTCGGTCTACGTCTGTCGGCATGTTTCTGAGTGAATCCTGATTGACAGCTGTCATTTCATCCATCCAGTGGCCATGATCGAGCTCCGTGAGCTGGAGGAGAGCCAGGTGAGCGTGGAGTCGGTGCGGGGCTGGTGTGTGGAGGAGCAGGCCATGGAGATGGACATCGCCATGCTGCAGCAGGTGGAGGAGCTGGAGAGGAAGGTCACGGCAGCCAGCCTGCAGGTCAAGGTGAGTCTCAGAGAACCATGTCCTGGTCTCTGGTATCAACTAGAGGAGTAACAGACTACTCTGCTCTCAGGGCTGGACCTTTCCGGACCCTCAGTCCGAGCGGGAGGACCTGGTGTACTACGAGCACAAGCCCCTCACCAAGTGCACACTGTTGTCAGCAAGTGCAGGGGACAAGGACTCCAGAGACTCCAAGGAGCACCCGGAGGACCGCGTGGAGAAGGGCGGGGTGATGCGTCACCCGGACAACCCGCTGGACATAGCAGTGACACGTCTGGCTGATCTGGAGCGCAACATCGAGAGAAGGTACCTGAGGAGCCCCTTAGGTACCACCATTCAGATCAGGCTGGATAATGTGGGTACGGTCACTGTCCCTGCCCCCGCCCCATCCACTAGTGCTGACAGGGAAGGGTAGGTCATTTCTCCAACCAAAGCTCCGCCCACTGTCCCACTGAGACCACTTCCTCTCTCTGTGTGTGCTTTTTGTTTCCCATTTTACGTCAAACTTACAAAAACCGCATTTTCACAGAAAATGCAGTGTGAATGCTGAGTGCTGAATGTCATGTTTGAAATTTAAAGAAGAAGCTAAAGCTTAGTTGTTAAAGTTAAAAGAAGCTGAACAAAAGCTAAAATGGGCAGAACAGGAGCTAAAATGAGCATCCAAAAGTCTAAAATGAGTATTGTAAAGGTTAAGAAAAGCAAAACAGAGGCCAAAATGAGCAAAAAGAAGCTGAAATAAGCTAAACAGATGCTGAACTAAGCAAAACAAGCTGAAATGAGCAAAGCAGAGGCTAAAATGAGCTAAACAGAGGCTGAAATTAGAAAAACAGGCTGAAATATGGCAAGTAAAACAGAGACTAAAATGAGCAAAACAGAGGCTGAAATAATCAGACCAGTGGCTAAATGAGTAGAATAAGGGCTGAAATTAGCAAAACATCCTAAAATATGCAGAACAGAATCTAAAATGAGCAAAACAAAGGCTGAAATGAGCAGAATACAGAAGAAAGGAGCAGACAACAAGAAATAAAGCTAAAAGAAACAGAACAATAGCTAAAAGCCAAAAAGAGGAGAATAATACCTCAAATTAGCAACGCTGTTGCTACAATTGGCTAATCAGGTGCTAAAATTAGCTAAGTAGTAGCTAAGAGATTAAAAACCTTTAGCTCAATCTAGAATTATCAAAGCATTCTAAAATTAGCTAAGTGGTCAGTAAAAGCTTAAAGTAGCAGAATGGTAGCTACAAATAGCTAAAGATAACAAAATGGAGAAAAATGCTGGGGCAGATTTTAAACAGAATTTTTTTGAAGGAAATAGTAAATTTAATGTTTTTCTATTGAAATTTTGATTGTAAATAAAGTTAAATGTTCTGAAAAGTCTACAAGTTACAAAAACCAGAAGCCACATATCTGCTGAATGAGCCGAACGTTTTGATCTGTGAACGGCTAAAACAGCACAAAGTATGCTGAAGTAGTTTTACTTCATAAACACATGAAATATTTTGAATGCTGACTCAGCATTCACACAATAACCCAATTAAATGGTCTTTTCTTTTTTTTTTTTTTGAGTTTTGGGTGGTGGTTTGTCACTCTTGTGTTTTGGGTGGTGGTTCGTCACGCTTGTGTTTGTCGTTCAGGGGTTCTTTCCGAGCGGCCGGGGCTCCACTCAGCCTCATTTCCTGCAGTCATTGTTTGATTTGTTTCCTGGTCATCTGCATGGTGTTGTGGATTTATGACCTTTAACAGTCCAGACTTATGCTATCTGCATGAGAGCATCCCCATATTGTGATAAGACTGATGTGTAACCCCCCCCCCACACACACACACACACACACACACACACACACATCCCTTTAAACCCTCATGCCTGTCTCTGCACAGCTGAAACCTCTTTGGCACCTTTTTCAACTGATACCAAACTGTTTGGATGTAAAACACATTTTCATGCATTAGAGCAGCCATTTTGGTTCTCATCGTCCTGTCCCCTTTTAGGAGTGAGGAGGAGGTGGCGCATGGTATGAAGGTCTGGAGGAAGGCCCTGAGTGAGGTGCGCAGTGCTGCGCAGCTGGCCATGTGCATCCAGCAGCTGCAGAAGTCTATCGCCTGGGAGCGGTCCATCATGAAAGTGGTAAGAAACGGTCAAATAACGAAACCAGCTCCTTTCAGGAAGGGTTGGCTTGTTTTTACCAGATCCATTGTTTCTTTCAGTACTGTCAGATGTGCAAAAAGGGCGATAACGAGGACCTCCTCCTGCTGTGTGACGGCTGTGACAAAGGCTGCCACACTTACTGCCACAAACCCAAAATCACCAGCATCCCAGAAGGAGACTGGTACTGCCCAGCCTGCATTTCCACGGTACCAGGACTTGTTCTCACTCACTCACCTGAAATTATACCTTCTGTTGGTAGCAATACATAATACAGCCTGGCATGTACCTGGTGCCAATTACCTCCCATAAGTTTTAGGTATGTACCTGGTAACTATCTAGTACTTTTATGGGGTACAGTATGTGCAAAGTACTTACAGGCAGGGCTCAACTTGTAAACCGATCGATGCCGGAATGTAAATAGTGGGTGGGCCGGCTGGGGAAGGGGGTGGTTTAATGAGTTGTTAAACATCTACGTCTACCTACATTTGTAAACACTCGCATCCCCCCCCCCCCCCCCCCCCCCCCCCCTTCCGAACACCCCCCCCCCCCCCCCCCCCCCCCTTTACTTGACGGTTCAGAGCTGACTCTTCTCCACCGAACTCACTGTCAGACTCCACCCGAGTGCCCTAAACAAACAACCACAAATCAGATGGTACGACTACAAAGTCTATCATCAATCTATGACCTAGAGAGTCCTAGTGCCAAGTTGTGGACACCCTTATGCTTGAACATGGTGTTCATGATGGACAAGCCATGATTAGCACAGAGTCCAACAACAGAACACCGCTCGGGTTCAGATCAGAGAGGCCGTTCTAACCAATTACGCTCCTCCAGATCACACTGTCATTACCTACGTGGGCATTGAATTTCATTGGCAGAATTAAGGAGTCCCCAGATGGCGCACCTTCCAGCACCCCAACTGAGGACTCCCAAGAAGGCTGGATACTCCAAACTGCCGTTTGGCACCTATACACAAACAACAGTCATAGCCCATCCCCCCACACAAAGGCGCAGGGAAGCTACCCTCTCATTTACCGGGGGGAACTCCCAACACACAGGCACCAAGTTGGGGGGCCAAAAGTAGACCCACACCAGCTCAGCGTCTTTCACTGTGGGCAACTCCAGAGTGGAATATGGTCCAACCCCTCTCAAGGGAAGTGGTTCTGAAGCCCATGCTGTGCATCGAGGTGAGCCCAACTACATCTAGTCAGTACCTCTCAACTTCACGCACAACCTCAGGCTCCTTCCCCGCCAGAGAAGTTACATCCCATGTCCCAAGTGCCAGGTTTGGTAAGCCTGGGTCAAAGCACCAAGGCCCCCGCCTTCGGCCACTGCCCATGGATTCATGCACCCGACTCGTATGGCCCCTGCTGCAAGTGGTGGGCCTGCAGGAGCTCCTGGGGTCATTCAGGTGCACAAACTCCTCCACCACAATAAGGTGGCGATTCCAGGAGGAGTTCCATGCCTACCATTCCATATCTGATAAATTTTACCAAGTACTTTTATGGGTATGTACCAAATACTTACAGGTTATGTGCCTGGTGCAAACCTGGTACTTACTGAGCAGGTACCTGTTGATTATGTATAATTTAATCAATATGTACCTATTACTTACTCAGTATATACCTATTGGATATGTACCTGGTATACCATTCCATATCTGGTACCTATTACCACTCATATGTACAATGTATGTACCATGTGATTATCTAGTGCTTTTATAGGGTATGTACCAAATACTTACAGGTATCTGGTACAAACTAGGTCTTATTGGATATGTACCCGTTAATTATCTAGAACTTAATGAATATGTATCTGGTATTTACCTGATAGGTACCGGGCTGTATTTTGCATTGCAACATAAAAATACTTGCTACAGTATTTACCTTTATCTACCTGTTTTAAAACTTGCATTTTTGTAGTTTTTGGAATAAAGTGTTGTAGTGTACTTTTACTGCACTGACAGTTTAGTGTCCTGAACTTCATGTGACATTAGATTTCTTAAATTTCCAGGCAAGTGGTTCATCCCCAAAGAGCAAAAAGCCTCCGGTTAAACCTGCAGCTTCTGGTGGAGGAGGCGGTAAAAAGGGCACGGAGGCCAAGAAGAACGGGAAGCCGGCAGGTAACGGTGAAGTGTCGGAGGAGGATTCAGCCAGTGCCAGCAGCACGCCCAAGAAAGGAACAAAAGACACCAGCAGGAAGAGGAAGACGGAGGACAGTTCCCCCGCTCCGATACCGAGCAATCAGGAAAGTCCTGTATGTGTGAAGAGAGCCAAGACGGCGAGAGACAACAACCGGGATCTGGGGTTGTGCAGGTGCGTGTCTCTGTGTGGAATTCTTCATAGGGTAGCTCTGACTTCCTGTTTACATCCATGACAAGCTGCAGCGCTGACTCATGACTAAAACACAGTCCCAACTGTTCTTTTAGTTCGTAATTCAAATTCTGCTTTCTGTGTTGTTTTGTTTGTTAACAGGGTTCTGCTCGCGGAGTTGGAGCGACATCAGGACGCGTGGCCGTTTCTCACTCCTGTCAACCTGAAGTCGGTTCCTGGCTACAAAAAGGTCATCAAAAAACCGATGGACTTCTCCACCATACGAGAGAAGCTCGTCAGCAGCCAGTGAGTCCCCAGCTGTTCTGTTTGTAGGGTTCAAGATAAATAAGATAAATCTGTCTCAAATATACATCCACCTATTAGACTGAGACCACCGAGGTGCTCCACAGAACGCCACAGGAAGTCCTTCCTCCCTGTGGATATCAAACTTTTCAACTCCTCCCCCTTTTTACACATAGAACAATAAAATTAATCCTGCACCACAATAAACACTTACATTTTTCTGTCTGCACCTGACCTGTTTTAGACTTTAGCTGTTGGTATTTTTATATTTTCTGTGTTTTTTTATATCTTGTGTGATTCCTTGTGTACATTCCTTTGTACTGAAACTCTGGCACAACAATTTCCTGCTGGATCAATAAAGTTGTATCTTATCTTATCTTACCTACAGGTATATGTGAAGATAAATCAGCCCCAAATTTACATCCACCTACAGGTGGAAGTATACCATACTTTCCACTGTACACGTTGCACCGCCATATAAGTTGCATCAGTCCAAAAATGCCTAACAAAGTGGAAAAAATCATAAATACGTTGCTTCACCGTTTAAGTCGCAGCTATTATACGTCACTGCTGACAACCCGGAAATGTGGGCAGGTGTTGTGCCAAAAATCAATTGGCTGCCAAATGGCGGCTCCGGGAGCATGCACGGGAGGACTTTAACAATAATTTAACAAGATTTACACTTAAAAACAATTATTTGTTTGCTCGACATTATAGCAAAGGTGTGTCTCAGTTTAACTTTTCCTTAATAAACGCACTTTAATGGTCAAATCAGCTGCATTTTGCCTGAGCAGCTGATTTTTATGTTTGCTCCAGGAGTTCGAGTGATACAAAGGTGACTTTGTATGGCAAGCCAAGTGTCTCATTAATCGTCACTTTTACCTATTAATGAGACATTTGGCTTGCCATATTACTCTAGGGCCCTTTAGTGTGTGAAAATGGTAGTGTTCAATATTTTCCATCTCAGCCAAAAAAGTGGGTTATAAATATGGGGGGGAAAAACAAACAAGTCGCTTCGCCCTATAAGTCACAGTGCATACTAACCCTTCTCTGAAGGCGTTGAAGGCCCTGAGTGTTTTCCACTGCTCTAACTACTTGTAGTTCTAGTTATGCTTTAAGCTTCATAATGTGTCACTCATAATGTGAGTGTGTTATGACCGCAATATTTTCTTCTTTGATGCATTTATTTTTATTCTCTCAGGTATCAAAATCTGGAGACTTTCATCATCGACGTCAACCTGGTGTTTGACAACTGCGAGAAATTCAACGAGGACAACTCGGACATCGGCCGAGCCGGCCACAACATGAGGAAGTTTTTCGAGAAGCGCTGGACTGAGCTTCTGAAACAAACAAACTAAAATTCTACTTTTCGTACCCGAGCACCTGGTTTTACTTGGATTATTTTTTTTGTTTTGTTTTTTCTGCTGGAGTTTGCGGCTTTGCAGGATGGAAGAAAAAGTCAGCAGCTCCTCAATGAGGAATCCTTTGTGTGTGTAAGACCGGTTTCACCTTAACATTAAAAAAACAAAAGAATAAAAAAAGTTACATGAGGTGCGCTGGATTTATTACAACAGGGATAAAAGCCCCAAAGAGTCCCAGAGAAACGGGGTGTCCGAGTGCAATAGCATTCCCTGTGAGAGAACACTGCACTGAACGAACGCTCAGCTGTCACTGATCGATCTGCGCCACACTTTCCACTACCTTGTACAGAGCCTTTTGTTATTTAATCATATTATAGTGAATGTATTTAATTTTGTATTAATTATTTATGAATCAAGGTCCACTTCATTTTCTATGAAAAGGAGAAATCATCCAAACTGCTTTGAATTTAAAACAAAACAAACAAAAAAAAAAGGAATGTTGTTGTGTTATAATTTTATTTTTTGTCTCCCAAATATCAAACAAAGCCAAGAAAAAGAAAAAAAAACAAAACCTGTTTACACTGTTTAGCTTTGCGGCGTCAGAGGACTGCGTTCATTTGTTCAAACTGCGTTTATTTAGTCAGAAAACAGGCGATCCGTGTGTATATACTGTTTATTAATGTCAATATTTACGTCTTGTTTGGAACGATGTGTAAAAATTGTTTAAGAATATTAAGATATTGTTTATGCCTTAGAATGATTGTAGCATTCTATTTTAGTGAACGTGATGAAAGCATTATCATAAATATTGTTTGTACAGTATATACATATCCTCTGCAAACACTGTGGTATCCTTAATCTTGGTAGTGCCTACCCTTCCAACAGGGGCGTGTAGGGGATGTTGTTTTTATTTAGTTTTTCATTCTTTCGGTTATTTTTTAAATATGAGTTCAATCCAACAGGGCCTCCAACGTTGGACAGCGACTCGGAAATCATTCCTCACCAGAGCAGAAATAATAAAAATAAAAAAACACAAAGGAACAACGAGCATTCGGTTATGTTTCCACGAACATTTCCTGGGATTCTGCCACGATTCAGAGGACCTACGGCCATTTGTAACCACTGTGTTGAACCTTGCTGTGTGTTGTGGCCTGATGGAGGCAGCTAGAATTTTTTTGTACACAAGTCAAAAGTACTTGAAGTTACTTTATTTAAGATATTGTGGAATAAAAGTATCATTCTTTTGTAGGAGCTTTATTTTTCACTAGTGTGTGGCACGGACCTATTAAAAGGATGTTTTTTTCAACGTAATCGTCTTGTGCTTGTTTTGTTTCGCTCGACAGAACTCATTGTAGTTGTAAATTAAAAATGATTTATATATATCACCTGCTAACAAAAAGTAATGGATGTAAATTTACAACTGAAGAACTTTTGAAGAGTCAAACATGGTGACAACAGCCAGTTTTTCAGATTTTCAGCTAAAATTTGGTGTGGTAGTATTGGATAAATTCATTTTATGTATTATAAATAAATTAACTGTCAAATAATTTTTAAACAATAACCACAATGTTTTTAAACTCTTCTATTCTCTTGATGGTTCAAAGTAAATAAACTTTAATCCAAAAGCACATTTAAAACAACTAAATTTGATTCAAATACTGTACTCTAAACAATGCCCAAAGCATTCAACAAACGAACATTAAATCAGAGAAGAGAATAAAATGGGAAATATTTTAAATACATATTTTTTTTAAATGTTCATGACTGTTAATTCGTGTTTTATAAACTTGCTTTATCCATAATTAATTGTCTCTTAGTTACAAAAGTAACCATTTACATCAAAGTTACTTAACATACTGGTACATAACAATACTTCACCTAACATTCACCAATGGTGTGCCACAAGGCTCAGTTTTAGGTCCCACTCTTTACAATTTATAAAAAATAATGTAGGTCTAAACATTCCTGACCCATCCTTGCATCTCTATGCCAATAACGCTGTTGTTTATTGCCGAGCTAATACAGTTGCCATGGTTTTCCAGCTTCTATCGTCTGGATTTGACAAAATTCAGTCAGACTTGTTCCATCTCAAGCTGGTGCTAAATGCTGACAGGGATGTTGTTTTCCAACAGAAAGTCAGTGTCAGCAACTCTTCCTCCTATCTCATCCATGCATGGTGTTCCTATTGAGTTTGTAGATTCTTACAAATACTTGGGAATTTTGGTTGATGTGCATCTCTTTTAAACCACATACCGAAAACTTGATAAAGAAACAAATTAAAACTGGGTTCTTGTTTTTTTTTTTTTTCAGAAATGGATCTCTGAATGTAAAACCTCCTTGTAACCGCTACTTTTCTACCATCCATTGACTACGGTGACATTATTTACATGAATGCTCCTGCCAGCTCCTTGCAGATGTTAGATGCTGTCTACCATTGTACACTAAGATTCATAACTGGTTGTAACTACCATACCCATCACTGCACTCTGTACTCACTGGTCAGTTGGTCATCATTATCTACATGTAGGCTCTCACACTGGTTCATTTTCATCTATAAATCCCTCTTTGGTCTACTACCTTATATCTCCTCCCTCATGTCACGCCGTTGGTGCAGTTACAACGTGCGCTCTCAGGGCATCATTACCTGCAGCGTTCTCTTAGTGTGGACTGAACTTGGCAAAAAGGTCTTCTCCTACTCTGCTCCTGCAACCTGAACACCTGGAAACAGGAACTGAAGCTGTCCTCTTTGATTTCTTTAAGGGGTTTCACACATTTGATAATGTCAATAGAAAAATCAAAGCAAATATGTTCTTGTTTGTAGTATTTTCACCCTGTTTTATGGCACCCTGATTTATTGTTTTATACACTACTCTTATTTTTACTGCATTTTTACTGTAGTTTATTGTTGTCATTGTTTACTGTTTTGTTGTCTGTACTTTATATGTTCTGTCTGGAACAGGTCCGTCTTGTAAATGAGTCCTTGTGGCTCAATGAGGCATAGCCTGTATAAATAAAGGTTGAATGAGTGTTGGTTTAATAAGGAGAAAGAACGGCCTTCTTTCTGTTTTCATCAACATGGAAAAATAAAAAACTGTACATTTGTTCACTGTGTTGAAGATGCTAAATTATTATGATTATTAATGGTCCATATAAATGTGTGTGCATATATATATATATATATATATATATATATATATATATATATATATA